CTGCTGAACAGATTTGGTAGCCAGCATGGCTATTGCCCTGCTTCACAGAAATGATTGTGTGGAAGGGTCAAGGAAAAGGCATGTTGTCATGCAGAAATCAGCATCACCTCTGAGGAACACATGCATAGAACTGCACGCTTAGTTCCTCCTCAGCAAGAGCACTTTGGCTTCTCTGCCTGCTCTACCTAATTCTTTTTAGGCTATGAAATCTGTGTATGTATGCACTTGTGCATATATATGTATGTATATACACACACACAAACTGAAGCATGCTGAGCCTCAGACATTCTATTCCCAGGTGTTACCACCATTATCACTGCTCCCCTTTGTGCTTCTGGGATAGTTTGCAAGGCCATGATGTGAATGGGCTCAGGACCTACTTACAGCTTCATTAGCAGAAGCGAGGGGACCAGTTGGTACAGGGGGGAAGCAGGAACTCCTGAAGTGGCCAAAGGCCCTTGTCAAACCACTGCAAGCACCTTGCTATGAAGAGCAAGCAGCAGCAGGAAGGTGCTCGTTACCTCAGCCTTCTGTGGAGGGAATAAGAAGAGGCAGAACAAGAATATCCGATAATCCTTCATGGTGGCTGTCACTGGCTTTCTTCGGTTAGAAGCATCTGGCAACACAAGAGAGGAATTTGTCTAATTCCCTTGTGTGCTGCTTCAGCCCTTTCTTTTCAAGCCCATACAGCCTTGACAGCAACTGAGCTGTTGCTCAAGAGGAAAATGCCATGCTGATCAATGTTAGCAGCACAAAATGAAAGTCTGTATGCAAACCACGGATTCTGGCCCACTTTAAAGACAAATATAGGACCACTGTGTCAAGCATCTTATGTTCTTGGCTGTCAGACTGCAATGGAATAATAAGATTCACAATTCTGTAATTAACTTCAGAACCTGAGGAGCAACACGCGTGATACACTAAGGGTTTTCATTTCCCGAATAGGCAACTCTAGCTAGGCTGTGCTTCAACATCCATCATGTTTACTAATCTTAGTCTGACCCCTAGTGAGCTGTCACAGAATAATCAGATTTATCTAACAGATGCTACACCTTCCTGACAGGAGACTACCACAAAAAGAAGTCATCTATCCACCTTTTTTTTCTCTTAAGAAACCTTGGTTACCTTTATCAGTAGCATAACATAAGAAAAAGAAGAGAAGAGCCAGCTCAGAAGTCCTAAGGCCTTCTTCTGAAGGTGGGTGGGGCAGGGGGAAGAAAACACATGACCTGGTATCAAGTTCCCTTAACTTACCTCTGCATATAAGGTGGGTTTTTTTGCCTCCTTCCCTCCTTTTCTTTGTGCAATCAGGAGCTGCTGCTTCAGATTTACAAAGAGATTTTTATCTCTGAAGGAGATGAAGTGGAAGTTGCATCTGGTTAGATAATAAGTTTAAATTAACAATCACTTAGAAAGACAAAAAAAGGTGTAAGTTAAAGCAGTAAACACATTTTAAAGGACCTAAATAACTTGCAGAATTTTTTAATCCATTAGAAGCTTCTAGGGTTTTGTCAGCTTTAACCTCAGCATTTTGTTCATACTGGATATTTCTTGCTTAGTGTGTTTATGCCAAGTAGTTGCAGGCCAAAATACAATCACTGCGCTTGCCTTGGCAATAACACAAACACAGTAAAATTTTTATGGATTCCTTTCCCCGCATGAAGATCCATTTATCAAGCACACTGACAAATTAAAAAAAGTAATTTGCCCAGCCTCTGAAATGTACCCACACAAGAGCTCGTGCTTCTTTTTTTCTTTTAAAGCAGTGCTCTTCTGTTTCTGTAGCCAAGAGGACTATCTCAGTAACAGTGCTCTCTGTCTATGGTTTTGGCATACTTCTATCAATCACCCCTGGTTTGCACAAGATGGGATTTTGACACCTATTTCCATCTTTCTGCTCCTTACAGGCATTTTGAAGTTTGTGGAAATCACGGTTAACCTCCTGGTGCTGATTTGTGTGGGCGCTGCCCAAGCCTCCGTTGCAGGCTTCACATCACTTGGCGGCTTCGGCACTGGATCCTTTAGCCTGAATTCAGCCTATAGCCCCTTTGAGGGCACGGAGCTCCGGGAGGTGAGGGAGCTAGACATGCAGTTCACCCAGATGAGAGCCCCTTGCGTGTATGGCGGAGTAGCCTTCAGCTTAACAGCAGCAGTACTTACCCTTGTCTTCCTTGTTGTGGGGGCAAAACCCATCCAGAAGCTCAGGATGGGGCTGCTGGCCGGCGAATGCACCTTCAACTTGCTGGCTGGCATGGCGTACATCGCAGCAGTCGGCCTCTACCTGCATTTTGTCAGCCAGGTGAACTCCACAGAAGTTTGCAAGAGGCACGAGAGGCTGTATGCGCGCCGTGGTTATACCTCCATGAACTGTGTGGTCCAGGGCGGCGACGCAGCCGTCGGCCTTTTTGGTGTCGCTGCTGCCTGTTTGTACTTTGCCAGCTTTGTGGTCTGTATCCTTGCTATCCGAACCGTCCGGGCCTTCCGGAGCCATGCGGCCAAGGATCAGCACATCCCCAAAAGCAGCATTAGAGACAGAAGCGTCACAAACCACCACACTGTCCACGGGACCTCCAAAAGCTCCCACAACATCCAGGCTCTTGCCACGTTAGTGTGAAGTCAGCTCTGGGACTATGCCAGAGAGCCGGAGCCTCAGCAAGGGACAGATGCTGGGCATCACATCCTAAACAGGAGATCAGTCCACAATGTATTGTCCTACAAGGTGCTGAGGTGTGTATCGAATCACCAAATGTAACAATACTGCTATAACATGGTGTAATAAAATTGATGTTCAGTCCATTTTTTGTATCCGTCTCTCAAGCTGGACTCCTGCATTTAAAATGTGTTTGATTGTAATGTTTTCATCCTGCACAGAGCAAATCTGAACAGCAATGGGCTGTTAACAGGTTGCAACTGCAGTGCTGCCAAACTTGTGCTAACAACCACTTCCTTTCTTCTCCCGTGACATAAGGAATTGGATACAGAGCTAGGATGGGCAGCCTTCAACAGATCCTGTGCGTGTCGATGCATCCTATCGCCATACGCCACACCGTTCACACAGCAAAGGACACTCAAGCGCTTTCCTGAGTCACAGCCGAAGCTACATTTGTGACCTGTTTTGCTTGGGCTAGTGAAGCGTTTTATCTTTTGAATCGCGAGGGTTGATGCATGCCAATCACATGCTCCCTGAGGAATGCTGCTGGGAATAACTCGTTGCAATAGAAAAGGCAGCGTGTGGGTCCTCCTCCAGCTCCCTACTACATTTTCCCCGTCTCACTGAGCGCAGATCAGATCCTCAGAGGCAGCACATTGGTCAGCTGTCAGCTTAGTAAAGATACTGCTTGCTTCCACAACCACCTAAACGAGGTTTGGCTTGCTGAGTCCACAGCTGCTGGTGGGCAGAGCCCGAGTCAGGAACACCCAGGCTGCCCTGGAGTTTTCCATCGGAATGCTGTAACAATGACAGAAAGTACATGCGTCCTTCCAATATCTAAACACACAAAGCGTGAGTGAACAGCAGTAATTGTATGCCCCCAGGGTTGAGAAAATAAATTTAAGAGCACATCTTTCAAGAGTCCTTTGTTTGAGGCAGATGAAATAGATCACTGGTCTTCATAGATGAGGGAGCAAGAAGAAAAGGCTGCTCTTGAAGTGCATAAGATTTGTCAGCTTGAGAGGAGGGAAGAGGCAATTTTGATTCTGGCTGTGCTCACTCTTTTTCGGTTTTGTCTGGCTCAGAGTCATTGCCCAGATGAGGCTCTTTTGAACCATAGTAGAGCTTATTTATTGTATACTTCATATATACACACAGAGAGATCTCAAAGGATCATGTTTGTGAGGTAATAAGCCAAAAAGGAAAATGTTATGGTTCTGATTAGAAGTGATTACATGAGCCTTTACAATAAGTATTTATCATTTATATAATACCTTAAAAATCTCTCTAACACTTTGAACGTCAACAAGCTTCATAGCATTATTATGCTTATGAAGAGACAGGAGTGAAGAGTTTTTCCAAACTTGCCATAACTCACAGTAGTGATAGTGTCATGAAATTAAGACTTTGATTTCTAGCTCTTTACCCAAATCCAGACCTTCACTGGTATGCTGTAATCGGCTGGAAAGTCTGTTACAGGGATGTCTGGCATGCAGCTACAGCCACAGCTAACCACTTGTTAGGCATGTCTGCCTGCACACATGTTCCTGCACTACCTCTACATCTTGTACATTTTGAATGCAGGCTTAGTTACGTGATGACACACTGTTACTAACTGACACAAACAACAAAAAGCAGCGCCATGAAGTGACACTTTCAAAAGATTAGAAAAGGCTGCAGATAAGAATGCATAAATCTTAACTCAGTCCTTAAATACGTGTGCAATATGAATTTTAATCTCAGGGCTTCTTACTCTGCCCCTTTCATTGCTGAATGCTTGCCTGCCATCGCTGTGCAATAGCAACAGTTCTCTGTGAGCACCGATTCTGTCTCTTTTCCTTGTGTATGTGGTAAAGGTCTCATTTGTTGCAAGATAATTTAGTCTTTAGAATAAGGTGCGCCGAGTTTTCCTGTGGACCATTGCTGTAGTGCTCCTCCCTTGGACACTTGGGTTCCTCACAGTCAACAGGTCCATGTTTCTCCAGTACGAAGGGCCCCAGAGCTGGACGCAGTACTCCAGGTGAGGTCTCACCGGAGTGGAGCAGAGGGGCAGAATCACCACTCTCGACCTGCTGCTCACGCTTCTTTTGATGCAGCCTGGGACACGGTTGGCTTTCTGGGCTGCAAGCGCACATTGCTGGGTCACGTCCAGTTTTTCATCCACCACTATCCCCAGGTCCTGCTCCATGGGGCTGCTCTCAATCCATTGATCACCTAGTCTGTACTGGTACTGGTGATTGCCCCAACCCAGGTGCAGAACCTTGCACTTGGCATTGTTGGAACTTTGTGAGGTTCACATGGGCCCACTCCTCAAGCCTTGAGACCCTGACAGGTCCCTCTGGATGTCATCCCTTCCCTCAAGAATACGAACTGCACAACTCAGCTTGGTGTCATCCACAAACTTGCCGAGGTCCTGAAGCACTGCAAGCAAAGGGACCACAAGGAAAGCCAAAGCCCGGTGATTGCCAGCTCCTTGAAAGCTTCGTACCTCGAATCTGTTTCCTTCCCCGCTGCCACAAAGAAAGATCACTAGGAAATAATCGCAAAGAGGAAATAAACATCAGTGTTGTTTCCTCCACTCACCTTCATGGAGGAAAATGTGGGAGAGGAGAGGGGAAAATCCCAGAAATACTCCTCAGAGGACTAGGGCAAGGAAGAAGCAGCTTTCCTTCCCCTCGGGGTGAAGGGTAAGCCATATAGCATCGGGGCAATCCAAACCACCCTGCTTCCTGACCATGCCTGGTATCCTGTAGATGGCTTGAAAATCTGTACCGTGCAAGCTGGGAAGGTGTAATACAAGAGCAGAGATTTTTCTGGCACGCACATATGACTAAGGCTGCGACAGGCTGTCGTCCCCAGCTGCCACTGCAGGGGGTCCTACCCTCC